ATTGCATTGGCTAACACTCCAGAACAAGGTTACACAACAACCTCTTGTAGTTGTTTTCAAAGGGCCAGCTGTTGGAATTACTAGTTATACTTTTTCTGATTCCTTTTCTGCTTTTCATTTAATAATTTATTTTTTCTCTTTTCCTTCAGTTTTTTTTTTTTCCCCTTAACTTCTTTAATCGGCTGCCCTAGCAGTTGCTCTTGGTACCCACTCTGATCCCTATGAGGCCTGTGCACCTATTGTCCAGCAGCTGTGAGTATTGACTGGTATCAACTTATAGCTGAACTGTCCTGTGTCTATGGGAGTTCCCTTTCCATAAAATGACTGAGGTCATGCTTTCTCCCTGGGAATGCCCATTGCCAACAACTGACCGACAGAATGTGTCAACTCTGAGGTGCCATGTATACCTTGGAGTTCCCCACTGACTCAGGCTGAGCTAGACTTAAGCTGAGCCCACATCTTTTCTCTGAAGGCCTTCTGTCCCCACTGATGGTTGCTGATGGCTGGCTTCCCTGCTTGCACTCCCAAAGATGGCCTATTGTTTGCCCAACAACTCCCGACCCTTTCCTTGTCTTTCAGCTTGGGAGAAGAGGCTCTTCTTGGACCATTTTTTTTTTTTTTTTTTTTCCCTGAGCCTGCTGGAGATTCTGGGTTGGAAGATTCTTGTCCAGCATATATGGGAGGCAATGAAGAAACCCAAGAACTTGGCTGGGGTGTCATTCCTCAAGTTCTGAGTTCTCCCAAGCAGTCTGCCTTCTACTTTGCACCTTTCAGAGTCTTCCTATGTGTGTTGGTTGTGTAATGTCCAGGGTTCTTTAGTTCTCAGAGGGGAATCTGGGAGGAATGGTGCTAGAATTCCCCCATTATATAGCATTTCCACCAATACACATAAATAACCTGAAGAGCATAGATAACAGTAAAATATAATAAAAATAATTAGGATGGAGGCTTTAGGCAGGCCTGACTTGTATGTTAGAATCTGGAAATTTTTCCTGACTCCTAATTTCATTGAAAATGGAAACTTAATTTCCTGTTCTTAAGGAAAATGCTGACTTCATACATTAATGTTTATACTGCAATCCCCACAAGTGGTTCCGAAATCAGATCTAACGGCTGATTTTCAAAAAAGAAAAATGCAAGAACGGATGGGCCTGTCCGGTCTCAGGATTTTTCGGTTGGGGAGTTTATGTGTCCATTGGGCACTTTTGGAGTTGTCTCTTGCCTTCCAGGATGAACATTGGGTCCCCCTTGATTTTTCAGGTGGTTACCTGCTCACTGGGTGGATGAGAGAAAGCCAAGGTGGTCCAGTTGTTTTTTGTTGGTCTGGGGAAGTTGGCCAGAAGATATTTAGGGGAATTGTTTAAATGTGAGAGACTGTGCTGATCCCGAGGGCTACATGGAAGTTTAGGACTGGACCTGACCAACACCCATGCAGTTTGTGTTCTGGATGTGAATGAACTTTACATAGGCACAGTATGTGTAGTGGGCATCTTTGGGGACACACCTGGGAATACTGGCTTCAGGGATCTAGTCATGAAACTGTTAGGACAAGGGTCTCAAGGTCTTGGCAGTTCTGAATGTCCTTATTAAATGTTATTCTTGGTCAATGTTAGAATACAGCGCAGTATTTTTTAGACCAGCTGTAAACTGGGTGAGCTTGACAGAAACTCAAGGGGATAAATGTAGCCAACTTGCAAAGACGAAATCAATGTATAATAGACCAAGCAATGGCTAAGCCTCCCTTTTGGGGACACAACTTTGGATATGAATACCGTCTCCCTTACTTCCTGCAAGTAAATAAAACTACCTTGTGACAGCCACATCTCGATCTTGCATAGAGCACCCTAAGCGGTGAACCCCTTGAGTTTGGTAACAAATTGTAAAGACCCACGTAAGTGTAAGTTCAACTACCATTTCATGGGGCTTACTCTTGGGTCCTGGGACTGTCAGAATGGGTCTAACAGTTTGCCCTGGAGAGGGAAGAGAGGGTAATAATTAGAGTATGAGTGGCCCTGATATTCCTGGCCACTTACCATGTATGTGCAAGCACAGGCCTAATAAGCATTGAAATGAGGATCGTCTGAGTCATGCACAGTCATTATTCTCATCTTACGAGTGAGAGGATGGAAGCACTGGAGGCCAGATCACTTGATGTTTGTCACACAGTTAGCGACAGAGCCAGGAATGTGAGGTTTCTTCCAGGCTCAGGCTGTGCTTTGCATTGAAACATTTTAGGTGGCAGAGTGGGCTCTCCCCTCCCATGTCAGTTTAGGTTTGTTGAAAAGTGGACACCAGGATGGGACTAGACGTGCAAGCGATTATGGGAGAAACGTCTGTGAAGGGTATCAGCTCCGAGAAATAAGATATCTACCAAGAAGGGCTCTCTGGTGGCTAACTAGGCTCAAATTTTAAAAACAGAGCCTAGCAGCCATTTCCACACAGGGCGAGAGGCCTCTGATTCCTGGTTAGTCGGTCCTCGTGCAAATGAGGACTCCAGATCCACAGTATGGCCCTAACCTGACACAGGAGGGGAGGTTCCCTTTCTGCTAAGGACTGT